AAAGTTACCTTTATAAAGTGTCGAACCACCGGATAAGACAACATTGGCAAACAAATTTTTCCTTAAATCTAGATCTGTACGATTAATTGAATCGACGACAACTTGATGAATACCGGCATACTCAAGTCCGATCAATTCAGGATTAAATAGAATTTCTGGAGCCTTGAATCTTTCAGAACCCAACTATTAAATAATTTAAAAATATGTGAACAATTGATAAGAAATCTCAATTTAAACAAACGAAGTAAATTCCTTTACCTTAACAACGTTTCCATCGGGCAAAGTAAAGTCATCGTATTTTCCATTCGTATCCTTTTCTTCCTTAATTGGAAATAATGCAATATAACAAGTCTTCTCTTTGATAATACGGACAACTTCTTTTTCAGCAGTTGTTGTAAATTTATAACCTGATTTACGAAGAAGCAACTGTAAATATTCTGTGACATCCCTATAAATACGAGAATGGTTTAAAAATTAATATTAAAATTTGTTAAAAATAACGTAGGATATCTTAGACATATACCTTCCGGCGATATCGACTCGACGAATAGCGTTAGGAAGAGCGAATCCTTCGTAAACCGGTACAGCGTGAGTTACACCATCACCTGAATCGAGAACGATACCTGTGGTTCGTCCAGATGAATAGCTAAGCGGTAAGAATGAACAAATAACAATTACATCTTAGTTTCAAATAATTTCTAATGATCGATTCATTATCATCATGCTTACAGACTCAACACTGCTTGAATCGATGCGAATAAAGCTGGAACATTAAATGTCTCAAAAAACATTTGTGCAGCCTGTTCTCTATTAGTTCTAGGGTTAAGTGGTGCCTCAGTCAAAAGTACTGGATGCTATTATGAGAGAATCAATCTTACTTATCATGAATAATAGCAATAAAAGAGGTTTATTGAACGCGTGTATGTTTTTATACATACCTCTTCGGACGCAGTTTTTAATTCTTCCTCGTAAATATATTTCCATATACGTTCCATATCATCCCAATCAGACACAATACCATGCTCAATAGGGTATCTTATTTTGAGAAGGCCTCGTAATTCTTGAGCTTTACGCCCAATAAAGAGATCACCTTCAACCGCACCGGCCATGATACGAACGTGTTTAGGTCGTCCAACGCTATTTTTTTTTTATCCCAAAAAATATTAGTGAGTAGACTTTAATAAATAGAACAAATGTATTGGGTGTAGTACTCACTAAGAGGGGAAAAAACATTTTGGTTGGTCATCACCAGCAAACCCGGCTTTAATGACACCTGACCCCTAAAAATAAAAAAAAGATATTAATCGTTGTGAGTATAAAGTATGAAAGGGTGAACAAAACTAAATACATACATTGTCGATGACAACAGGCTGATTAGTTAAAACGTCCTCATATTCCATCATTTTT